GGTATGCGTGTCTATGGAGATTTATTTATTTTTTATTTTATTTTTTATGATGAAAGGGATTTGTGCATATAAAAAAAAAAAAAAACCGTAACGTTTGTTTTTGACGACTTCATAAAGGGTTATCTTTTTTGTAGGGTATTTAAACTATTTATTTGGGCTATGGATTATGAAAGTTATTATATTGTATGCTTGTTCTTAGCTAATTATATGCTCTACTTTTGTATCGAGCACTATTTTTTAAAAATAATAACTAAAATGCTAAGGAACTTTGGATTATTTACCTAACCAGTTCCTTCCTATTTTCTATATATTTTCACACACACACACACACACACACACACACACACACACATATATATATATATATATATATATATATATATATATATATATATATAAGATTCTCGATAAAATCCTAAAAAGATATATAATTTTATCTGTTATGTCCTGGTAGGTCATGACAATTGTCCTGTTGAGCAATTCTGCGCAGTATCTCGACTGCATGAACTTAGACAGTACTAGACAGGCGTTTTACTGTTGAAATAGCTAGATGAAACAGTAAGTTTTTTTGGGGGGTGGGGTTTACAGTAATGTTCACCCTTTACAAGGTTCGGGGACAAGTCGAGGTAGAGGGTTACGTTACGAGGCTGTGGCACCATTTATCAAGGCAGAAAAAGAAAAGAAAGAAAAAAAAGAAAAAGAGAGCTAAGACCCAAAGCGTGGATGATAAGCAGAACACCACGGCTAAGAGACAATGGGTAAAGGATATTTTGATAAGTAACAAATGGCGAAAGAGTGTCATTACAATGACAGGGAAATTCTGAGTGGATAAAGGAATCGGGTGTGTTTTGGCGACGGCTGTGTTATCTAGGGATACGTAAACAAACTGCTGGCCGACTGGCCAAAGAAAAATCCAAATGAAAATGTTATTTCGATAAGTGACGGAAAACAGGTGGACTAAAAGGGCTTTGGATAGATATGAAAAATTAAAAGCCGCACAAGACGTGTCCACTGACCGACTTCTTTCGATGGAACATCTTTAGCCTGCGATAATAAAATTATGTTATCAGAAATGTGTACCGAAAAGGGCGACGTTTGGCCGTGTTAAAAAGGCCACCCATTCGGATAATTAACGATAAAATGACTGACGAAGTCCACGTGTAGAACAAGAGTTATGACCGCCATTGTTCATATTGTCCTGTTTGCGACTAGAGAAAATGATAACTGCAATTAAGAGGAAGAAAAGGAAAAGAAAAGATTATTTTTTTTTTAGTTAAGCAAGATATTTTTTTTCCTGAAACAAAGCCGCGGATTCGTCCACGCCCGACTAAGACATCATTAGTCGAGTGGTGATCACGTGACGCACGAAGGAGGCTGTCGCCGCCCATCCAGAGTATAGGTATGAGAAGCTGCTACGAAGAAGTGGGGAGGGCAGTTCACGCCCCTCTGAAGTATGGTGAGAAGGTGGGAGTAAGGAAAGGCTCCCAAAAAAGGAAAAAAGTGGAAATTCCTAACCAGAGAGGTGGATATGTAATTAGAATTATCGAGGAACCCCCGACGCCGACAAACCCACCCCGGTTTTGGTCAGCGTCCATATAAGCGAAGCCGCAGCAAGCAGAAATCAGTTTTCAGATCGAGAAGAGTTGCAGTTGAGTTGCAGTTGAGTTGAGTCCCAGTTCGGTTCAAGAGACTTCCGCCTCGCAGATAGCTGACTTGAAAGATTCACGCAAATTCCGGACTCCTCTTCAACCCAAGAACAATTATTTTGAAGAGCGACTTAGATCCAGACCACCAAAATAAGTTTTTTTTTTTTTTCGACTTTCGTCCGAAGACACACCGAAAAACCAATTTCAAACAACTTGAAGCGTTAAAACTCGCCTAACGGAAAACGACGTGTCACAATCCATAGAATGGGTCAGGAGATAGGTGCAGTCCTATGTATCGAACAACTAGACATAAAGTTTGTTACCTTTTTCTTTGATACCTTGAACTTTTGAGTTTTCATTTTATTTTCTTTTATGCATATTTGTGTGGTGTCACCCCCGTTGAACCCGATTTGCATTACGGCCATAACTACTGATTGATCTCGTCTGCCTAAGATCAATTCACAATGTGGGTAGGCGGACTGGAGATCAATGCAGTTACCTTGGTAACCAGGCGTTGGAAGCGAGTTGGGAACGACGAGGCTGATATCAAATCTAACCAGATTCCCGCCCGAATCACCAAAAGGTTAGAACGTCACATTTGGGTGCCGCGACCGATACCAAGCCAGTTGGTCGTCACAGGATGAGACAACACGACTGACGCGACAGGCGGACGTCACGTTTGGAGCGGCGACACCCGAACGGTGCAGCGAGGAGCGAACAGCTGGCGCCGCGGCGAGGACGTCACAGTTGGTGCCGTGGTAGACCAGGATAGGACGTCACAGTTGGCGCTGCGACCAGGGGACGACGCCACAAGGCCATTTGCGAAGATAGGAGTGTAAAACAGCAGTTAACTCTAGCCTTGAACAAATTAAGATTGTAGTGACCAAGAAAATATCCTCCTCTTGGGAGTCGATTACACAGATCAGTGGTTCGCGGGAAGAAGCTGCTCGTCTATTCTAATAGTATATTTTCTCCGTTGTGGAACTCTCTTCCGGATTCTTGTTTTCTTGTCACCTACAATCTTCCAAAAAGTTTAAATACGTCATCAATCGCCATCTTCTGTTTTCTTGGATTTCGTTCTTTTATTGTCTTTTCCCCTCACGAGCATTTTTCATTGTTTTCATATAAGGTAACCTCTTGCATCTCAGTGGTTATTGCTTTGGTGTTATAAGACATACATACATATATATATATATATATATATATATATATATATATATATATATATATATATTCCGACAGAATGTTTTAACTGAGACATGTTTCGTAGAATAATTTCGACATGTTATCTCTACTTATTCTACATAGGATTCTTTCATATTCACGGATAAGCTTTTAGTGTGATTACTAAAAGACGAGAGGAAAACGTCGTGTTGATACATATTGTATTTATTTCCGAGTACTTTCGACATACTACAATGTCATCATCAGGGTATTGTTAGTTAGAGGATAAGTATTGTAGTGTTTATTGTTGTGATAGACAAAAATTGTCGTGATTATCTGAAAATTAAATTTCTTATATGTGGAGTGAGGAGTGCTAAGTCATGGCATGACTACGGAACACCGTTTAAGGGGGAGGTAACTAGGTGTGTTGTAAAGAGATTTTACGAAATGAGTAGTAGAAAAAATAAAGGAAATAACTATCTATTGTAAACGTTTGTGGAGTATTCATAATTGGTCTCAATTTTTAATATAAATAGATATATATATATATATATATATATATATATATATATATATATATATATATATATATATATATATATATATATATATATGCATGGTTCTTCACTACGGAGCAATGTTTAGATAGTTTTGCCAACGATTAGGATTATTGTGGGTTCGGTCCTCACCAGATGCCACTTAATGTGGCCTTTTACCGCCGTAAACGTAGTACAATAAGTTGTTTGGTTGTGAATATATGGTTAGTTTGTTAATCTCAGATAAACTGTCTATAATAGTCAATTGCATCCTCAATATGTATCAGAAATTTGAAACATACATATGACCTTTTAGTACTAGTGAATTAAAGAGTTTTGTCATCACTCGTGTCCCATACTTAAACTGGTGTATCGTTATTTGCTCATGTTAATAAATATCGATAGAGCACTACTCCAGTGAAAAATGGTTAGCAAATAGCTTAGACAACATGTAGTGAATTTAATTCTTATTCGATGTCCCACTTCAGATACGTAGTCTCGTCTAAGAGTAAATTAACCTTAATAAATATATATTATATACAAATGTATAATTATCAAATGGTGATGTTAATTGAAAGAGAAGTTAATCAAGAGAAGACACTGTTGATGTTTTTAGTTTATTTCTATAACCTATTTATCAGGCATGAGATCGTGACTACACCAACTGATGCTGCTACGATTTTAGTAGTAACTGAAAGTTGACGATGCCGAGTTGTCAGTCTGGTATTCAAAATAAACCGGAAGTAACTCTAATGATAAATACACGTATTAGTTTCTTGAAGATATCCACAGTACTGGTAAATATACATTATATATGCAAGTATTTATTGCATTCCAACTCTTGTTTGGACAATTAAACTCCTTATTTTGTTATTGATAATGTTACAGTAACTTTGCGGACGATTTATTCTTCAGCCTTCATCTGGCGTGTAATCGAGAAAGGAGAAAAAAAAAAGAATTATTCCCATAAAGTTAGTGTTAAAAATGTCAAGGCTTCTACGAACAAAATTTGAAATGTCTCTTCTCAAAGCTAGAAACAAACACTTTTGAGCTAGAAAAGTATTTAAGCGCAAAAGATATCTGTCTATATCTCTGAGATGAGGTATTATGATTACTTGCATTATTTACATTATTCGGACTGTTATGGCCCAGTGGATAAAGACGTTGGTTCGATCCAGTGACTCAAAGGGTTGAGAGTTCAATACACCAGGCTACAACAATGCTGAGCCAAAGTTGAGTTAAAGAGAAATAACTGAGACATCCTCAAGAGGCGTGGCAGGTGGAACTAGAACAATATACCCCCAGTGGACGAAATAAAGGATTCGGTCCGGAATTTCAATCACCTAAAGAAGGCTGGAGCGTACAACGACCGAAACGTTGTGAATATGGCAATGAAGATGAGGATAAAAGACTGAATAATCTAAATAAATCGTACAAAAGAAAATCAAAAATTAAATTAAAATAACAACTACAACTGCGTGCGTGTGTGCTTTTTTTTTTTTTTAGTAAGAAGAGACCGAGAAGTTTATAGCGATGGTTAACGAAGAACACAGTGGATGAATTAATACTTATGTAAATCCCTCTCCCATAAGTTTTTGAGAAGATCATGCAGTAGAAGCTAGGATTTTTCTTCTTATATTCAGAAAGTAGGGCAAACGGCCATATCACGTTGGAACACCGCTAATAGTCCGATCACTGAAGTTAAGCAACGTTGAAGTTGGTCAGTACCTAGATGGGTGACCGCTTGGGAATACCAGGTGCTGTAAGCGTGGATGTGCGGGTGGTGTATTGGATAACGGCTTGGAGTTGGAAATCGTTGAGACGAGTTCCAATTCAAGTCGAGTTCATATTCACTTACGTCAAAATAACCTTGGGAAACGTATGAATCCTATAGGTTAATTACTCGCACTTGTATGAGCATTAGTAAATTATTATTATCTCATACCAACAAAAGAAAGAAAGAAAACAATCTTACGAATGTTACAATAGAACGGGAGATAAGAAGATAAAGAAAACGATCCGATAAAAAAGAAAGGAAAAAGACGTGAGAAAAATGAAAGAAAAAAATAAATAAATTGAAAAGACAAGTATAAGAGGAGGAGAAAAACAAGAGAAAATATAATGGGAGGTTGAACAAAAAGTAACAGGGAATAAAATCTTTTTAAAAAAAAAATGAATAGAAATGATTTGTCGATTACATAAAAAAAAAATGAAAAGAAAGAAAAGATACGAGGAGAAAAAAAACAATAAAAATACAAAAAAGATATAGCGATAAAAAAAAGGAGAAAGAAATTGTGAATAGAATAAAAAAAGAAAAGAAAATAGAGACAAAATATAAAACTACGATAAGGCAGTAAGGGTGGAGGAATCATGGTAGTGGGAGAAGGTCTTACATGTTAGTGCAAATTGATTTTGAATTAAATTTTAACCCAGGATGGTGGCTGCGTCGAATTTTTAAAATATATTTTTACAGAAGAATCAATATTAAAAGCAGATCGTATCAAGAGTTTCAGATATAAATGTACACGCAAACACTCAAAGACATATTCACAGAGAAGTAACACATAAACACAATCACTGTTAGATACACGCGTTGATATATACACACTTCAATAAATGCTCACTCGATTGTCGGATCAAAGACAAAGAGGAATGTTAAAGCAACAAAATGCAAAAATTGTAGAGCCAGATCCCCCACGTCTCCTAAGGACACGGTATATAAAAGATAATTGTAGAGAGTTTTATTTACTAAGATTAAAAGCTTAAATAAACAGCACTCGAATCTGCACTCATTCCTCAAGGGAATAAATTTGTTGTTGCCAGGTGTACGATGCGATTTATTGAATAACAATTATTGATCAAACATAATTTTTGATGCTATAACTTTTAGCTCTATATGCATTAGAATAAAATGAAAAGAATTTAAAATGAAGGTGTTTTAGGAACATCACAATCATGCATTCAAAATTTGTAAACCATAAACTCAATTGTTTAAAATTCACAAAACATTAAGCAAATATCGGATTTCAATAAAAGTTTCACTATTTGTAAATTAATGAATGGATATATATTTTTAAAAGAATTTTATAGGAACATTTGATGGAACTATTTTTTGGAAATGTCGTTGCTTTCCTAATTTATTTACTGTTTGTTTTGTGCACGTAGATACTATGTTGAATTACTCCTATATATTTTTTCTTCGTTATCTGCCAATTTTACAGTGGGTTGATATATTGCATTTTTCTGTAAACAATTTCCGTTTAAGGGACAATCGTTTTTTGATCTACAAATACCCGTAGGTTTGACATGTACCTCGAGTTAGTTCGTTTTTTTTATTGTTGTTTTTGTCTCAGGTTCTCGGAGGAACTGTAGCTTATTTTTATTGTGTTTTTTGTTGAACATACAGTGGATAGTGCTTGATGCGGGGAAGTGTTTGTGTATGAGTTTAATGAATATTTTCCTACGTTTGTTTTTATGTTTTTTTGTACGGGGAGCTGAACCATACGATGTTTCTTTTCTTTTTGCTTTTTTCTGTGCCGTGTGGTCTATATATATATATATATATATATGAAGAAATATAGTCTTAAGATGTGCTATATTTATGGGATAAAGTGCTCAGTATCAGAGATAGAGCGTGTGTAAATATAAAAGTGAACATAGAAGTCAACACTTAGAGGCGATAATCTGTTTCATGCTATATGCAATCGTCAGGCCATGAGTGCTGAAATTTTTCTCGGCTATTTATATATACGGTCAGTGGTGCATTGTGGGTAGTCTATTTTAGCGGTTATTTTACCGGAAGTCGTTTATTTGTTTATTTATTTATTTGGGTTAAATTATTTTACTTGTTTTTATTTTAATATATATATATATATATATATATATATATATATATATATATATATAGAGAGAGAGAGAGAGAGATAATAATATGAAATCCGTAAGTAGAAATCCAAGTAGGTAGTTTTTCATATTAAAATTTAAAAGATGGATCCATTAAGAGAGTTCAATGTATAGTATACAGAGCAATATCATATACATCAAGGAAAAAATGCATAATCGAAAACACGGTTATAAATTATAATTTTATTTCAAAGGGTAAGTTTGTAACCACCGTCTCATCAGAATAATATCAAATCCGTAAATATATAATATTTAGCTGTTACTATGTTTTCCCAATCACCACACATGAAAATCAGAATTAAAACTAACAACTCCTCTTCCTCCACATATATCTTCAATATTATAAATCCCCAGAAAATAGATTTCTAAGTTTCTAAGATTTGCATACGTGTGTATGTGTATATGTATACTCAGATATATACAAATGGACACGTATATATGTACATGTGTATACAAGTATATATAAAATATGGGTGTGTATGTATATATACTTATGTACAAGTATATACATAAGACATCTTTGTCACTCTCTGTCTATCTATCTATCTATCTATCTATCTATCTATCTATCTATCTATCTATAGATAGATAGATAGATAGATAGATAGATAGATAGATAGATAACAAAAATGGAATTTGATTTAGGGTCCCCAATTACCCTCAGAGATACGAAGTTTTTTCTTTCTTTCATACCAAACTGAAGACGCCAGAGATAGAGCAGACAAACTCGGTGAGAAGCGTCGTTTATATCATTTCCCCAGTGTCTCATTATCTTCACTTTTGTTTCGAATACTATTATAAATCATGCAAACACACATCCATAGACATACATACATATACATAGACACGCACAAACATACACTCACACACACACACACATATATATATATATATATATATATATATATATGAACAAAAACTTGCATCAGTATATATCAATATCAATATCTATCTGCAAATATGTCTACAGATCTATCTATCTATCTATCTATCTATCTATCTTTCTAGATATATGCCTGTCAATATGTATACATATATGTGCTTACACGCGTGCGTATGTGTTTTTTATAGCAAGAAGAGACTGACAAGTTTAGCGATGGCTAACGAACACAGTGGATGAGTTCTGTAAATCCCCCTCCCATAGCTTTTTGAAAAGATCATGCAGTAGAAGGATTTGTCACCCTCAATTAAGCAGGAATCTATCTATCGATCTATATATATATATATATATGTGTGTGTGTGTGTGTGTGTGTGTGTGTGTGTGTGTGTGTGTGTGTGTGAAAAATACCTGTATGAAAATTTTAAAATGTATATGTATTGAAAATATGTAAACACACACACACACACACACACACACACATATATATATATATATATATATATATATATATATATATATATATATATATATATATTTTTACGTAAGTATGCACTTAATACAGTTACATAAGCAGCGACATAGACACGGAACAAAACTACAGTTGTTAAAGCTCCGTGTGGTAAAATCCTTTGTCGATATCGGTTTTGTAAATCTTTTCAACTACAATAAGGCTTCGATGCAAACAGGGTAATCGAGTTATACAAACGCGTACATCTACCTGTAATACACCCACCTGCCAAAAACGCATATATACGACCTCAGCAATTTATCTGCAGACATCATCTTACGCATTTCAAAGCCAGTGTATATGCCTCAAGGCACGTCATAACTTTATATCATCTGAACCGATGAGTGCTCACGCCATAAAATTGATAGATGCATGCATATAAAATAAAAATATCAGTAATTTATATCGTTAAAGATATTCTGTCTCGCACCACAATCTTATGCCCAGACGAATACCAATCACTCGATTGTTTAGAGGGACTTCGTTTTATACGCACAGGGTTCTTATTCAATTTCTCTGCTTCATTGTAGTACCGATTTGATAAAAAAAAATCAACTATTAGTGAAAGTTAACGTTTTCATCTGTGGGAAGTATTCGATTATTTTGTATTCATTTTACTTTGGCTTGTTTGATAAGATTCCCAAAGCAGTGTGCTTCTTTTTCTTTTCATGGTTAATGCTGTATATATAGTTGGAGATAGATATGCGCGTAGCGTAGCGGAAACTTAATTCGGCGAGCTGTGTTCAAGTTCTGGCCGTGGCATTTGCATTCACTTTAACACAGATATCCTTGAGAAAGTTATGGATTCGTCTCCTCGACCCCCCTCGATATGTGTTAAATATAGGCTCTCTAAATGTGTTGGGCGTAGAGATAGCAACTCTACCTCGTAAAACTTTCTTGTAAGTGAAACCGCAGCAGCGCCCCCTAGTCTGGCATAGCCGTGTTCCTATACTCCACAAACTTCGAGCCAAGGTAAATTTAGAATAAAGGGTTAAATCTTTCACTCTGTTAATTGATATTTTCTAACGTTACACAGTATTTAATATCGCTGTATGAATGCTGAAAACGATGTTAAAATTCTGAAGAACATGATCAAATTAATACACACACATATCTAGTAGATAGTGTTCGATCTCAGATAAAAGCCAGTATTTCATATTTTAATTTTCAAGTGAAACTGTCCCTTCATAGTTGAAAGATCAGCGTAACGGAATCTTCCTACACATTTTTGTGGCTAATTTTCTGTTATCTCTTTCCAGTGCCGTCGAAAATGGAGCTTAGTAAATATTTAACAATAGTTTACGTCCATTTCTCACCCAGGCTTTTGCGAAAGACATGAATCAATTTCTCTTCTCTTCCAGATAGAAATAACCTTGTAGTTCAGTTGGAACCCAACACCGTCCTCGAGAGGGCTGGAATTACCAGCGTGTACACCCATTTAAAGGAGAGACGCTTGCTCTGACTCGGATACATCGT